TAATTTGTTTTCTTCACTATCTCAGTCGGTGCCTCTATCTACCCCCCCACCCCACCAACGACTGTAGTTTGTAGGGGTAAGAACGTCACTACTCAGCCCTCACACATTTATCACTCTTCCTGATTTAAGCTTTGACAACATTCCTGTCTCAAACTGAGGTGCTTTTTCGCGGTGAATTACTCAATAGTTTCGCCTAACATCGTATTTTGGGACAATCTTTTTAGAGAAGTGTAACCCAGTCTTAATGGTTATGGGTAGGTTAGGGTCTGTTGCTTTGTTTACTGAAAGGTAGTAAATTAACTGATATTCCAATGTACTGAACATTTTAACGTGGTACCTCAAACACTTATTAGGAGGTATTAAGCATTTTACAAACGAAAGTTATGGCGATTATTACAATGAACGGTATTGCTATACAAACTATTGAGCATTTTGAGATAAGAATTACGACACTTATTACAATGCACTGGGCATTTTTAGACAAGAATTGAGACACTTATTACAATGTACTGGACATTTTAACACGAAACTTGTGACAGTTAAGAGTAAACAAACCCATATCGAGGCAGCCCTTTCAATGTGCTGGTCCCCTCGACAGAAGGGGAGGCGGGCAGTCTCCCTCCCCCAGCGCCTGTCAATCACCGCGCCACCAATACACTCACCGTCTCTCCCGTCACGCACCACTCCTCGCTACGTCCTCACGACTTCCCCAACAATCTCCTCTTCTCCACACGCTACGTCCTCACGACTCCCCACAATCTCCTCTTCTCCACACGCTACGTCCTCACGACTCCCCCACAATCTCCTCTTCTCCCCACTCTACGCCCTCAAGCTCTCTTTCACCCCCACACCTCCCCCACCCCATGATCTCACGCCCATGCCTCCTACTCTCACCTAATATTTGTACAAACTTAAACACCCAAATCTCACCCAATCATTCAAAACTATCGAACACTATCTTAAGTTTGTGCAAGAATAATTTTACACTGGACAGGGCCCTAGTCGAGTTGATTCACTGACACGAGGAAAAGTGTGAGGGAGTGTCAACTGGGAAAGTGAGTCTTGTGAGTAAAATGAGAGACGCTGACGACTTAGACGATCAGCTGTGTGTGTGTGTGTCCCCCCACCCTGGGACCACCACAACAGCCCCCACTCTACTGCTACCCTTGCCTCACATGACCTAGCTCCTGGCTACCTCTCCCCAACACTCTCCCCACCACCCTCACTGTAAAAATCTTTAGTGTTCCGGGAAGGACTTCGAAAATTAGGCCAGCGAGTACAGGTGCTAGAGCCTCAGTCGTGAGACCAGTCCAATATATCTGACACGAGAAAGATGTTTCATTATATCAAAACATGTGTGTGTGTCATGTTTGTTCAGCGTATAGTACATTAAAGTTAGTGGTGGGTGGGGGCAGTCGTGGTGTAGCAACCAAAAGGACAGAACGTACGTGTGGCGGGCAGGGCTGTGATGGTCGCCTCCACCTCTGCCTGCTGTCCCCCCACCCCCACCACACCCCGCCACGCCTGTCAATCATCTCACGGCCACTTTAATATTTCATCACCCGTTCGTATCCCCCTCTCACTACCCTCCCCCTCCCCCCCCAGTTCCTACTTTCAGTTTCGCTATAATTGTTTTTGTTGTTAGTTTATCATTTGGGGGTAGAGTTTAGTTGTATGAGGGAGGGGTTCAGTGGACGTGTGATGGAGGGGAGCGTTCATCAGGCGACACTAACAACGCTACCTTGTGGCCGGGTGTAGGTCCTTCACTCAAAAACAAAAGACTGCGTTCACCTATTCATTCGCGTTATGTCGTACACGCGGTGTACCCCCGAATGGCCATCATGTGGGTCAGTGACCTGTGCCCGGGTGGATTGATCCCCGTAAAAAAATAAAAATAATCTACCCTTTCAGGAGTTCTCGCGGACACTAAGACTGACCAAAGTGGTGACCCCATGATGCCTCGCGACCATCATACATTAATACAGAACTCGAGTTTACTGTACCTTCACTGTCTCTATAGTGTATATACTGAATCAATGTAAAACTTGAATGGCAATTTTACTGAATATCTATCTATCTATGCTATATCTCTTGTACTCTTTAAGACGAACACCAATTTCACTCTTACTAAAACTGACCAAGTTCATCTCCCGAGTGACAAGCTCCCGAGTGACCTCTTCTGACCAACATAACGAAGACTGTGTGTGTGTGTGTGTGTGTGTGTGTTTCCTGAATCGATAAGTGTTTGGAGTTGTTGTTGTTGGTAGTGATGGTGAGTGGGGGGTGGCAGGAGAGGGGAGAGGTGAGGGATTGTGGTGAAGGGGTGGGGTTGCGTTGAGTGAGATGAGGGGGGTGGAAGTTAAGGGATGGGATGGGGTTAGGCGAGGTGAAGGGGGTGGGGAGTATAAGCATAATGAAGAGCGTGTAGGAACAGGTTAGTAGGTGGTGGTGAATAGTCAAGAGGATGGTAGTAGTGAGGTGAGAGTGGTAATGGTGGTAGCGGTGGTAATGACAATAGTGGTGACAGCAGTGGTGGTGGTAGAGGCAGGGAAGCGTCCTCTCGCCCTCATGTCTAACGCAACACACTCAAAACTTTTTATTCAGCCTTACAACAAACAACATCAACCAACACAACCATTTACCTAATTATTAAAACACAAGATTATCATTATTTTGTTTTAATCTGACAAAAGAGAAACTAACATAATCCAGCAACACACGAAGGCAAAAAAAAATATTTATCCCAACATAAAATGAAGCGAATATGAATGCAATGTCGCGATATCAATTTGCAGATTTTATTATTTCATAACATTTTATAATATATATCTATTTTTTTTTTAATTTTCGTGACAGTTTTAGCCGTGTTTCAGTTACCCATGAATCACATATCAACTTTTTCCACCATGAATACTCCACAAAATATCTATATGAAATTATTCGTCAAGCACCTACACCAACTTTTCAACATATATCTCCTCTGGTGTATTATGTATTGTGTATATTTGTTCACTTTTAATACTTTTTTCCCCCAGATTACTGCAGAGTGAGCGGGAACAAGAGACAACACACATATTATATACATATATTTATTGTGTGGGAGAAGAATATCTGGGTGAAGCGATGTTGTCGGTATGGACGACCAGCCGGGGGGTATCATAGGTTTGGTTAAGTTAGGTTATGGATGGAAGGACAGGGGTGAGCCTATACACCCCCTCTTGTACTCTTAAGCCGGCGCATAAAAATAAATATCAAGGGCAACTTGGTCAGATCTACCAGTTGGTCGTATACTTCACACCAGGTGATGGGCGGTGGTGGAAACACACTTCAGAATAATGCTTATTTTTACCTGTGGAAGGTGAAGTGTGGTGAGGGAGACCACACCTTCCTCATCCCCTTCTCCCTCACCTCCCACACTCCTCCTTCCTCACCAAGTAGCACACATTTCCCCGTTGTAAACACAGGAAGGACTGTAAATATGAAATGTGGTCCGGGGGGCAAGAATACACCGCAAGAATGTTGTGTTAGTAATGTTGGATGGTTTACGCAGGCGGTGGCTGGTACTAACCCAGCACCAGCGCCGCTCTACACCCTGCCATAGCTTGTGTGGTGTCGCCTTAACGTGTGACATAAGGAGAAGCTTCATAACACGGGTCCTGTGTGTTGGCCAGGTAGAGGTCGTCCCTCAAACGTAAATACAGGAAAAATCGCCCTGATGCCTCCCTCAAGATGCTGTACGACTGCACCGTGGACTTAATTTCTGCCGTCCGAGTTACTGCAGTATAATAATTGAAGTGGTAAGCGTGGCGTAAGGCAACACCTCGGGGAGTGTGAGTCTCCGTAAAGACCCGTAGGTGAGGGAGCCCTAGTGTCGCTAACTGCCTGGCGAGGAGGGCGGCGCTGGGGGCCGTCTGGAGCGTCGCCCCGACCATTGAATGCACTTGCCGCCTGGCCCCCAACTCATAAGGCGCACCAAGGAAGGCGCGGCTGCTCCGTTATCCCTCCAGCCTCCCCCTCCCCTTACTCCCCTCCTCGCTCCCTCACTTATTCCACACTTTACCATGGCCCACCTCCTACACACTACTATGGGTCGCCTCCTCCTCCTCCAACACACTTCAGACGTTTTTACCGTGACAACTACTCAGAAAAAAAGCACTCCCGTATGTTCCTGCTACTGTCACGTTAATACCATCAATAGCACAACGCCAAGTACTCAGCCACCCTCAACCTACCCTTACAACCCAACCTAATGTGTCCTAACCTTAAATAACCTAACGTAATCTAACCTCATAGTCTAACCTATCCTGACGTACCCTAACCTAACCAACCCCCTTAAACCTCACTGTGCCACAAACCTCCACAATCCTCCTCGAGAAACTCGAAAGTCACTAAACGTTTTTACCCCTCAGATTATCAACTGCCTCCCTTCACCTCCATCACGATCCTTCCCTTCCACTTCTTCCCCTCCCCACCTTCCCCTCCATCACAACGACCCTCCCTTCCTTCCCCCTCCATCACAACGACCCTCCCTTCCCTTTCACCACGACCCTCATATTACGATAACTTGAAGAAAGATTGTTCGTACACGTTTTAAGATATCAAGAAACAAAAAACAAACAAACACTTATAAAAAACAAACAACAGATATGATAAAGCAGCATTAATAGCCTCCGCACAGTGATCGTTATGCCCCCCGTACACAAACGGCCAGAGTATGCCAGTTTATTTTAGTTCGTCTTGAGGGAGTGTCGCGTTTTCTTTGTTTACATTATTGAAGTGCGGTAGTTACGTCACAGGTGAATCGTCGCAACATTATAATTATAAGTTTTAGAATGAAAATAATACTAATACTAATAGTAGTAGAAGTAGTCGTTTAATAAAATAGTACAATTAAGAGTAGCAGTAATAGTTATAGTTTAATAATAATATAATAATAATCATAACATTACACGCTTATGTTGAGAAAGAGAGAGAGGTATATGTACTGGAAGAACACTCACCGGCTGCCTTCTTAGCGGCGTAAAGGTTGGCCTCCTCTTGTGCCTTGCCTATGTTTTTCTTATACCTGATCCGCTTGTTACCGAACCAGTTGGAGACCTGAGGGTAGACGAGAAGTCATACGCCACACCACATCACACCAAATATTATACCAACATCTTTAGGTTACAGTCATGCTCTTATTAAAACCATTATCACCCGAGCCATTTAAAACTGTAATGAATTTTTTTTTACGCACCTATGACCAATATATCCAATTATCCATATTAAATATCATGAATGGTGTTATTAAGAGGGATTAGTGAACATTAAAGTGAACAATTGAACAATAATAATGAATAAGTGAGGTGGAGTGTTAGAGCATGCCGAGTTAACCACCTAACACACACAACAAACTACTTACTATCCAGAGAGTCACACACACGCATACATATATACTGTACTGTATACTGGCAGGTAAGGTGAAGGAGAGACGGGAATGAGAGGTAGTCATGGCAGGGCGGGAAGAGGTAGAGGAGCAGCACAACACACAGAGGAACAACAAGTTACAAGCAGCATATAAGCGTACACAGGCCTAGTTACTACGCGTAAGCTACACATTATCACTAGCACTGAGGCACATACAAGCTGGGAGAGTGGCTGGTATCCCCAACCTACAGAGATTTTTACAGCATAATTGTTGTTCTTTTCTTTTGTCTGAGGCGAGTGGGTTGGTGTGCCACGACTTCTGGCGTCCATACCCAACACAGCTGGTGAGTTACTGTCTGAGGGACAGGTAAAGATGCGAGGATGTCGCGCGATTACAGGAGGGCTGAGAAAGTTGGCTGAGCAGCAGCTCTAAAAGCGATCTCGGCCGCCATTAAGAGAACGGAGTGGCAGAAGCGATCACAGATTGACACTGTAGTGGTGGTAGAGAAGGACCTGCGGTGCGGGGCATCAGGCGGGTGGCACCACAGGTGAGCCGGCCCCAACACCACAAAGATAGCGGAGGGCCAGCCACATCGAGGAGGCAGCCCACATGATGGAGCACAGCACAGGTGGTGTGCCACTGCCAGCAGAGAAAGACACTGACAGCACACTACGTTTGGACGCACAGGAGGCCACATGAGCAGCCAGCAGACGGGGCATTGCGCTCCTCACAAATACACGCCCACATTCCACATCCACGCCCACGTTCTTAGTGTTAACACATTGATTATCAAGAACTGCCTTGGACCTGCACTAGTTAGCACGTTTGTTAAAGTACGTTAATGGTTGTAACTGTATGAGGTTAATTTTATATATTTAGTGAGCTTCGACGGGTGTGTGGACGGTTTTTGGAAAACGCATACTCCGGGAGCAGGCGCAGGGCAGGCGTGCCGCGGGTTAGTGGATTAGTGAAGGTGGTTACGGCACGCCTTCACCTGGGACGTGGCATCACGACGCAGCAGGGTATGAATTATAATGCCAATTAGGCTAGGAGAGGCAAACGGCAGCCTTACACCAGAGCCTCCTCCGTCCATGTGGTGGAACCTTTCTCGTATTTCGGCGCTGTCAGGTGCACAATGGTACCAGGCCAGCACCCAACACGAGGAAGGACACGGCCAACACTCAGCCAGGAGTGTAACACTCAGCCAGAAGTGTTCCACATGGCGTGCATCAGGTAGGCAAACATTGAAAGAAAAAAAATAATTTAACCTTATGTAGCTGGGCATAGATTGACTAAAGAGAATGGTCCGAGCATGACTTGTGCCTAAGTGACAGTGGTGGAAAGTACTATTGCCATGGCCTGTTGGCCTCCCGGCTGGCTGGGAAGGTCCACCTCCAACACCCGTGGGCTGCTTCGTGTTACAAGTTGAAGGTAGAGTTGGTGCAGCACATGACAGCATGGGTGTTGTGGTGGCGCTGCCCACGGGTGTCAGAGAGGCCCGGCTGTACCGGCTGCATACCTGCTGGACCGTGATGTCGCACGCTCTCGCCAGTTCCTCCTTGGCTTCCTCGCTCGGATAGGGATTGGACAAGTGGGAATAGAAGTAATCATTCAGGAGCTCAGTGGCTTGTTTACTAAAGTTTCGTCTTCGTTTCCTGCAAGAAAGTGAACGAGAACGTTACGTTCTTTACCTGAGCCACTGTTATATTGGACTTCCGGGCCAACTCCTCCTTGGCCTCTTCACTAGGGTAGGGGTTACTTAGGTGCGAGTAAAAGTACTCGTTCAAAATCTCTGTAGCTTGTTTGGAAAAGTTGCGTCTTTTGCGCCTGAAAGAGAACAGCCATAAAAAACACCTTGACCAAATAAAAAGCTAAGGGAAGGTGACAACGAACTACCAAAGCGCCACAACACCGTCCACCAAGCGTTACTCCCACGCCGTCCCTGCCGCCGCCCACACGCCCACACTGGCGGGGTACTTGGGGCTGCTGCTGCTGCTGGTGCTGCTGCTACTGCTCAAGAACAGCTGCTCGGCCCCTTACATTGGCCGAGAGCAGGATGAGGCAGTAAGTAGCAGCGTGGAAGTAGCGTGGAGGCGGCGGCAGCACGGCGGGCGGGGATGCTAAGCTCTACACCCAGCGTTGTCCATAGTGCATCATGTCATCATGTCTCCGTCACGCCGGCCAGCGGCAGGTGGTGGTGTTCGCATGCCGGAGACCAGTGCCCACACCCTCAGTCCACTACACCCGCCACACCCTACACTCTCACCCTTACATGTCATTAACGTCTTACACAACTTGACTGTTATAGAGTACATCAGGGTGATTACATGAGGGCAAGGCGTGAATGTAGTCGGGGGTGTTGCTGGAGCGTGATGTGGGCAAGGAACACTGAGGGAGGGCAGGTGAGAGTCGCCACGTGGAGGTGGAGGAGGAGTGAGGGAGACAGCAACCAGTCACCTCGCCCTCCCTGGTGTTCACACATGTCCACCCCCACCACGTACAGTCAAGGAAACAGTCACAATGGAGAAATGCAAAATCCCATCTAGGATGCGTCAAGTAGCAGGAACACTAGTAGTTTTGGTAGTTCGTTGTCAGTGGTAGTCACTGATGGATGTGGTGATGAGGAGGGTGATGGTGGGGCGGCAAGAGCTGTGGTGGCTACAGTGGCTGCAGTGATGGGGATGGTGGTGATAAAGAAAGTGTACCTGGTTAATTGTAATGCCACACCGACGTGCCAGGGCCTCTTTTTCCTCCTCAGAGGGGTACGGGTTTGACAGGTTGGAGTAGAAATATTCATTCAGAATTTCAGAAGCCTGCTTGCTGAAATTTCGACGACGTCTCCTGTAAATAACAGCGGGATAGAGCGGATGACCTGCTACTGTATACCTCTGGAAGTGGGCCTCAGTCCACCAGGCGCCTCGCTGCCTCACAACTTACACAAACCTCCTCATACCCTTCACTAACCCTGGTGGACTGAGTTGTGCCCCACAGGCTGTATAGAGGGGGAAAACACATCTCATCATGTACACACAAATATTAATGATTTGGTGAGAGTTAATAAGACACAAGTTGCGGTGGTTGGCCTTGACACACGCCTGTCACAACAACAATAATCATGTCCAATAAAGTTTACTAACATGTGACGATCGCCAAGCACCACAACCTGAAGCTTAAACAGCCATAAACTGTATACCATTATGTACACTATATCTACAGTTAAGTAACATCTACCAGTAAATTATAGTGTTAGGTAAGAGCTGTGTCAAAGTACAACATCTCTTTAAGTGTCTCGGGTACAATTAAGTTATCCCAGAACGTCACATATATTATACTGTACAATACTTTAATAGAGGAAGGCCAGCAAGCTATTCCTATTGTCATGCATTCCTCTAACTTCTAGAGACTAAAGTAGTAATTCTTTGTACAGCATCAGTCATAACCCACACCATTATTTACAGGATAGTGCACCACTGCCACCCAGGGACCTTCTGCACCTGGTGACGAGTGGCGACAGAGAGGCACTTACGTATCCGCCCTGGCCCAGTGCTGAGTGAGTCATGGCCCTCTACACTAGACCTGGCCCAGTGCTGAGTGAGTCATGGCCCTCTACACTAGACCTGGCCCAGTGCTGAGTGAGTCACGGCCCTCTACACTAGACCTGGCCCAGTGCTGAGTGAGTACAGTGCTGAGACCTGGCAGTAGACCTGAGTGAGCCCAGTGCTCTACACTAGACCTGGCCCAGTGCTGAGTGAGTCACGGCCCTCTACACTAGACCTGGCCCAGTGCTGAGTGAGTCACGGCCCTCTACACTAGACCTGGCCCAGTGCTGAGTGAGTCACGGCCCTCTACACTCACCCCACACGCCTCATCATCACCCCGCCAACAAGTTATCAACAGATACTATGTAAAGCTGAAAGAAAATATTGAGTTCCTTCTTAACAACTACCGGGCGTCATTACTAAGGTGTCAGTTGATGAACAAGTTGAAGAGTTGATGAGGCGTGAGTGACCGGTGATGGTGGCCGCAACCCTCAACTATCAACACCCGTCACCACCTCCACCCCGTCCTTCACTACCAAGAACCAGTTCAATAATTTCTTTTTAAAAAAATAAATAAATCCCACGTAAATGAACAATTCCCGCCCCCCAGTCTTCTACCTCACACACCACGCCAAGAGTTGAGATAATTGACTTCACCTCAACAAGTGTCAGGTGTGAATGTCTGCTATCCCAGCTTCACACACCTCCCTACCCCTTTACGGTGGGGGGGGGGGTGGTTATGGGTCAGGTGTGGAGGGAGGGGGTCATGAATCACGGCGTTGATCACCCCAATGACACCCGCTGCAGGATAAAATACATGATGGCCGTATTGGTTTCCGCCAATCACTTGTCTCTCCTGCCTGCCCTCAATGACCGATTATCTCACATTTGCATCGTTCACCACCTCCTCCAGCTCGCTGTCTTTACTCCAGCTAAACGAGACAGACGCGTCAGTGGGGTGACATACAACTGTTGTGGCGCCCCTGGACCTAACACACCTACTCTTTCGACTCGACTTGGCCGCTAGTGGACATAGAGAGTTAATGGGTGGGTGTTATGGCTCCTCTAAACAAGCGGCCTTGTCCGAAGTGTGGAGATTCAACAGCGAAGGTGATGAGAAAGTGTGCATAGACGGGGCGAGGCAGCAGTCGTGGTGAAGATTGTGGGTTTTATAAGGTGGTGTAGGAGGCCGTAAGCGAGGTTATGGCTCGTAACCCGCCGGACACACTCGTAAACGGCCGCACAATACGTCCCCCCGGCGGCCTCTGTCTGCTGCCGTCCTCACCCTCCTGCTGGGGCACGTCCCCCCGGCGGCCTCTGTCTGCTGTCGTCGTCACCCTCCTGCTGGGGCACGTCCTCCTGGCGGCCTCTGTCTGCTGCTGTCCTCACCCTCCTGGTGGAGGATGTGCCAGGGTAGGGTAGGGTGGGATGGGAATGGACAGGGTGGACCAGGTTGGCTTGGGTGGGAATCAGTGGAGTAGGATTGTAGTGAGGAACGAGGCAGAGTTGTACTGGACGGAGCGGGAAACAGACTTAAATGACGGGTAGGGTGGGGGGAGGTGGACGGGGTCCCCGGGTTGGGGAACTCCAGGGATGGAAGTGAACGGGGCAGGGGGGGGTGGATAGAGTGGGGCAGGGCAGGGGCAGAAGACGGGACGGGGCGAGGCAGGGGAACAGAGATTGGACGGACGGACACGGAGGGGGCGGCCTGCTAGCTGAGTAGGTAAAGAGGCAGTTCCCATGCAGAGGCGGTGCGTGGCAAATTACACGGGTTAGCCTCCCCGGTATCGCAAACTTAGACAAATATTAAACTCGTCTATATGCCTGCGTCGTGTGGCAGTTAAGCCCCCCACTCACTCACACAACTTGGCCTCCATTTACCAAAATCTTTCTCCTTCTCTTTCACTTGATGTTTTTTATACCGGTTTATCTCCTTTTACGCGACCGCAATTAGCTGGCTGGGGTGCTCTTTATCCTGGGGGCTATCTTGATATGTGTGTGCAGTCTATCTGGGAGGGCGCACCCGTCCCCACAGGATAAAGAACACCCTAGCTTTTGCACCGAGTTAGTAAGGGTGTCTTTTCCGGGGTGGTTCGGGGAGGGGCAGAATTATGACCTAAATGTTTTTTCAGGGGAGAATGGTAATTAATGGCCATTCTTATCCGGGGAAATGGTATCTGATGGGAGTTGGCACAGAGACTTTAATTCTACGGGAACTGTTACTAATTTCCTTTTTTTGTATCCAGGGTCACTCATCAACGGGGAACATTATCCGGGGAATAATAAGGTAACACTTTATTATCTTTATCCGGGGACAAGATCGCTCGGAGAGGTCAGGGGTTAATGACGTCAGTTCAGGGGTTCAAATGACGTCAGTTCAGGGGTTCAAATGACACAAGTAATTAGTTTCAGCCTCTGAGTGGGAGATCACCTCGATAATGACTTAAAACATTAATTACGGATTTGTTTTAAGAATATGAGGGTAATACAAGTTTTCCCCACTGGAGGGACAGTGAGCAGTGTTGTCGATTAGTTAAAATCCAGCTACGAGGCGGATTATCATGAGGGGCCTATGGCAATGGAGTGCCCTACAGCCTATACCAAGAGATGAGGGGGTGCCGAGAATGCCCACAGAGGGAGTGTTCAGGGGGTCACTTAGGTACGAGATAGTGACCCAGCGTGCCTCTTAGGGACGAGGTAATGCCTAGAAAGCCACAGAGGGAGAACATTCATCACCGCACATTATCAACAAGTGTGAGTGAGGGGTGACAAGTATCACACTGTATAACGCGTCACCACGGTACCTCGGCCACCAGAGAGAGATAAATAATATACGTCTTATATGAAGGTTTGTTAAAAAAAAATATTTACCGTAACATCATCATTTGGTGAATGTGTTACAGCATTTGATGAGGAGTGAGGTGGTTAAGACGGCGGTGGTGTGTGAGTGATAACGAGGGTAAGTGGGCCGCGGCGAGCATCATGTTGGTGAGGAAGGTGTGCGGCGGGGATGATGGAGTTGTTTATGAGGCGGCCCTTGTGCTCCTCACAGGGGGTAAGGGCCACTAAGCATGGGTAATGGCAGTCAAAAGAGTGGCGGTAGAGTTGGTGGCGGCACTGCTCACTCTTAATCCCGGCGACCAACCAGGGAATGGGTCGTAAACCAGCGTGGCTCCCGCTCCTCCTCCACCACCACACATCGTCCTCTCCCCCTGACCATCGCCTCTTCCACACCGCCTCCAACAACCTACCAGACACCGCTTCCACATTCACCTTTCTCACACATTTTAAATCCTCAATGCCCAGAGCATCAACATGTGAAAAAAAGTTAAAAGATACACCGTAAATTACTCGTTAAGTGCAACACAGTGGAACGAAACTCAGTGAGAGAGGCGAGGGGAGGTGTTGCAGGGGCAGCAGTCGTCATGGTCGCCCACACTATCCTCCCGGCTTGTCGCCACCACCACCACCTTGCTGTACCTGGTGTGTGGGCATCACCAGTGACCCACACCTATACCCTGGGTCTTGTTCCCGGGGCAGACTGGACTCACCATCCACACAACACCCACACTACTTGTGAGAGGGAAGCACTACAGGAGCCTGGTGGTGGTGGCGGTGAGTTAAACATTTTATCAGGGAAGAGAGAGAAGGTGTTCTGGCGTGATGCTGAGCTCACCCAAACAACATACCAATGGTCCAATACTGTACATAAAACACTTACGTTAATAATATACAGTACATATAAAACCTCTTTGTAAAAATTTTGTTACAACAAACACAAACACTCTTGTACACGCACTCACACACACACTCAGCCAATGTATGCTTCTTGCTTTCACGTAAAAAAAATATAACCTTGCTGGCCTTCCAATAATGAATCAAGGTAACTATTAAAAGTACAAAAAGAAAACACTTTCATGTGTAGTGTCCAGGTGTATAGACCAGGTGTGTGGCGGTGGTGTCTGAGTGAATTACCACCTATGTATAATGAAGGACACCCCCTACCCTGTGTGGGTCACCATCATCAAGACGCGACAACCTGTACCTCAAGACTTCATTATATATGTACACATCTGCCCTAAACTTGTATCGCGACAGGCAGTGGCTCACAGAAACAAGATAAGTCAACATTAACTCACGATGCTATTTCTTTGGCATTAACGTATAATAAATGATATTTACTCAACATTAAACTCCAATCTAAATTCAAGAAATAATCTGCTGACTCACTTGATATTATAAGAATCTCTATAAAAACGTTTTCAGTGAACATCAATAACTTGTGCTTGAATGACTAAACATATACAGGTGTGAGAAGCCGAGTCGTCACAAACTACTGTAATTCACTGGACAATTTAAACTTTCCTCTCAAGCAAAAACTCTAAAATTAAAGTAGTCGACTATGTTACAGGAGGAGGAGGCCTTTAGAACTACGTAATTAACTGGTGGTTGTTGGAGATAACTACACGTGGAGGACAGTTAACACTTCTCACTCCAATAACAACACCATCTACCAGACCTACCGTTCACACACGCACTATTTACGTTATGTTGAAATTTATATCATTACGACCTAGTGTGTGGGAGAGGCTGGACCAGAGCTGTCACTGATGCTCACCACCACCACAGGCGACTCTGATGGTGACTGTATCTTTGTAGGCGAGATGGGCAGCCCTGGGTAGTGGTGGTGGTGAAGTGTGGTGTTGGTGTAGTGTGGTGGTGGGGGTATTGTGGTGGTGGGGGTGGTGGTGGGGGTATTGTGGTGGTGGGGGTAGTGGTGGTGTAGTGGGCAACCTTGGTAGTGTGGCTGGAAGGGTCGATCTCTGGGAGTGTGGTAAGTCTCTGGTAGTGTGGTAGAAGGGGGGATGTCCCTGGTAGTGTGGTAGAGAGAGGTTGTCCCTGGTAATGTGGTAGAGGGAAGAGGTCCCCGGTAGTGTGGTAGAGGGGGAGCCCATACCAGGGGCTACAGGACCTACCTGGCGTCCAGGAATCGTGAGCGGAGGATCATGACGGCCTCACAGGTGGACTGCTTCAGCTGCATTTGTATGGAGGAGAACTTCTTGTGGATGATCTGCACCATACGCTCAATCTCCTTGGGGGTGATGGGCCGCGTGCGTGACTGTTCCCGCAGGAGGTTCATCACGTGGGTCGTGAACTCATTACAGGCCTGAAACACACCGATATACGTCTTAGTAACACAACACGGGTCTTAGTGAAGCTCAACACAGCATCACAAAACAACACAACACGGGTCTTAGTGAAGCTCAACACAGCATCACAAACCACACAACACAACACACATATACTGTATATTACTGGTCTCCTGCTCAACACAAGTCATCGTTATCAGTACTCCGCCTTGCACCACCTCAACCAATCAAAAATATACATTAATTCGGGACTATCGCCCTGTGGGACTCCCGGGTACCTGTATGTTTTTCTTTTATTTCATATCCCACTATTTACATCCTCCTCCTTCAGGTATCTCCAACTACTGACGGAGGAACATCTCGGTCAACATCAGATCTCACAATAACACTCGTCTGAACTCCTCCCATGTCACTCATTCATTTAAAAAAAATATATCACAGTTTAGTTCATTCACACTTTAAGATTTTTTTTTCCACCAGAAGAAAGACATCAACATTCTGTAACTGTACTGTGTGTGGCTCAAGACTGGGAGGAACCCCACTAAAACAAGAGAGAGAGACTGTACAACCCTCACCGACACACATTACATAAACACTACGAATATTATAACGTTGAGTGAGGTGTGTGTGTGTGTAGGTTGTCGTGTCGTAATACAAGTTAATTTTCACAAAAGACGACCTGTTGTAATGAGACAGCCATGAGGGCGCGAGGAGGAGGCCACGAGGTGCGTGAGGTAGGACCATGAGGCGCGTGAGGTAGGACAGGAGGGAGGCCATGAGGTGCGTGAGGTAGGACAGGAGGGAGGCCATGAGGTTCGTGAGGTAGGGCAGGAGGGAGGCCATAAGGTGCGTGAGGTAGGACAGGAGGGAGGCCATGAGGTGCGTGAGGTAGGCAGGAGGCCAGGCGTAAGTTTGGTGGAGTCTCCGCGTGAAAACTTCGATAATCGATAGGACGATGATGCACCTCGCGTCACGCCCTCATAGCTCACCCGGCCTCTTAACATGACGACCTCCTCCCTCCCACACTCCCTCTACCTCCTCCACAATCCTCCCTGCTCACACACTTCGTTCCCTCATCCTTACTCCACACCCCCCTCCAGCACCCCCTACACTACATTTATCCATACACTTACACACCATGCACATCCCTACAGCACCCACCACACCACAACCCCCCTCTCCTGCTGTACCTGTGTCGGTGGGGTAGACCCCCAGATCTGCCCATATGGTGTGCTAGACATCCATCATGGCCACGTCACCCACCACCACGACCAGCCCAATATTGTAATGCAATCAAACCCCCCTACTGAACCGCCTACTACACTCCCATCCCCACCACCAGAACTATTACTACCCCCATCACTACTACCATCACCATCATCCCCACTACCCCAGCTAGTACTATCCCCACCACTACCATTATTACTACTACCACCACCATCATCATCATCATCCCCACCACAATTATTACACCTCAACCACTATTACTACTACCACCACCACCACCACACCTCCACCCACTACCACCAGATGGACTCTTATGTAAACAATAATACCACTCGCCTCACCACTACCATCTAAAAATAAACCAAACAACTAAACACACAAACAACACTCCCAGGGACGGTAAACAATCTAAGGTGTCATAGTTGGTCAGTTTTGTATCGTTATTACTGTAATGAGGGAGTTGGTGACCTTCAGACTGGCACCATGACTTGTACGAGTGTTGGATCACCTGAAGATTAATTTACTAGGGGATGGGAGGGGGGGAGTTAGGGTGGTTAATCTTCAGGTGAAATAAGATGAAGAATGAATTTTCAGGTGATCACAAAAGTACCTCAGTGTATCCCCTGGAGTGTAGTACTAGGGAGGGAGGGGATCAACAGTGGCGGGACTGACGTAACAAAGGAGGTGAAGGAGGAGAGCAACAAGAGGCCAGTGGCAGGTAAGAGGGTGATCCCTGAGCACTGCTGCAGGTATGGACCGTAGCTAAGTACTACTTGTGGAGATTTATTTGTCAGTTTGCCCCGTCGGCTCTTAACTGTGGCAGCAGCATGGGGGCGGTCATTTGCTGCCACCCACCACCACACCAGCTGAGAGTTCGTCCTGGTGGGGTCATGTATGGCAGGTGAAGGGTGTGACCTCGGCACACATTACTCACCCACAGCATCAGGGAGTCAAGTTTTATTCATGTGTGGAGCTGCGGCAACAAAAAAGCTCACTGCTCCGGCAATCAGCGCCTCGCTAGTTTTTGCACTCGTAAGTTTCCCCTAATTGCCAGGAGCGGCGGCCACGCGGTCGCTGAGGGCAGACCGACATTATCTGGTGGGCGGCCCCTCCGAGGTGTACCGCCCCACACACGGGAGCCAAACCCCCACTGTAACGCCCCCACCCCTATAGTAACTACGCCATGACGCCATCCTCACACAGCTCAACAACGGCAAAACTGTTCAACAACGGCAAAACTGTTAAAAAAAAATGTGTTGTACTGTGTTGTGTTGAAGTGTTAGATTGCTGATTTGCCCAGCGTCTTGGGTGTGTGTTGTACTGGGGTGTGGTGCCCTGGTGTCCCTCCTCCGTGCTGCCAATCCTCGGACCACCGCAGCGCTGTCTAGACTCGCCTTCTCAAATCCACGACACCACAGAGATGCCCCATGTCTCACCCTGTATCTCACCACCTGGCTTCCTGTATCTCACCTCACCTGAAAACTGTCCACCTCAAGAAGGGGTGTGTTGAGGTGTGGCACAGAGGGCGTGGTGAGGAGAGCCACTGAGGGCGTGGTGAGAAGCGTTCAGCAGCAGCGGGGCAGTACGAGTAGCGGTGAGGGTAAAGTGGGCGGGAACACAGAGTTACAGCAAGACAATGAGGAGAGAGTGGGCGTTGTCGGGTGTTTTGTGTGGGCGGTGGTCGGTGTGGTAGTAACTGTGGCCGTGGTGATTTGTACTGCGGTGCATGGCCGTGAGAACGCGCCATTTGCGGCACCAAGAGCACCAAAAAAATATCTACCGCAAGAACCTTAGGAACCGACCATGTTGGACGACTCTCCCACACGACCATGTTGGACGACCCTCCCACACGACCATGTTGGACGACCCTCCCACACGACCATGTTGGACGACCCTCCCACACGACCATGTTGGACGACTCTCCCACACGACCATGTTGGACGACTCTCCCACACGACCATGTTGGACGACCCTCCCACACGACCATGTTGGACGACCCTCCCACACGACCATGTTGGACGACCCTCCCACACGACCATGTTGGACGACTCTCCCACACGACCATGTTGGACGACTCTCCCACACGACCACACGACCATGTTGGACGACTCTCCTGACCATGTTGGACGACTCTCCCACGCACCACACCACACCTCTCCTCCACCACCCACACACCTCTCCACCACCACCCACCTCCCACCACCACCACACCTCTCCACCACCACCACCTCACCACCACCACTCCTCTCCTCCACCACCACCACACCTCCCCACCACCACACCTCTCCCACCACCTCTCTACCACCACCACCACCACCACCACCACACCTCCCACCACCACCACACCTCACCCACCACCACACCTCTCCCACCACACCTCTCCACCACCACCACACACCTCTCCCGCCCACCTCTCCACCACCACCACACCTCTCCTCCCACCACCACACCTCTCCCACCCACCACCACACCTCTCTCCACACCACACCTCTCCCACCCACCACCACACCTACCCACCACCACACCTCTCCTCCACCACCACCTCTCCCACCCACCTCTCTACCCACCCACCCACCACACCTCCCACCACACCTCCCTCTCCCACCCACCACCACCACACCTCTCCTCCACCACACCACCTCTCCCCACCACCCCCACCTCTCCCACCACCACACCCACCACCACCTCTCCCACCACCACACACCCACACCTCTCCCTCCCACCACACCACCTCTCCACCACCACCACCACCACCACACTTATACTCCCCCAGAACGCTATACTCGAGTCCACTTTTCATCATAAGAAACGTTATAACATGTGTCCACTCGAGTTACCCCAGGGTGAACTCTGACCCGTTATCCCGCCATCCTCTTGACAGTGTAATGTGCATCCTAGCTGTTGACGGCCGTCCACATCAAGCCGCCCACACTACCAGGACCACTACAACATCAAACCACCCACATCACCAAGACGCCCACACTGCCAGGCCAAATACACTACCAAGCCACCCACACACCACCAGGCCACCCACACACCACCAGGCCACCCACACACCACCAGGCCACCCACACACCACCAGGCCGCCCACACACCACCAGGCCACCCACACACCACCAGGCCGCCCACCATATTTCTACCACTCGGTGACTACCATCACGATCAAGAATAAACTAATTACTCGTACATTACAATACTATTAGTACGTTAACCGGATGTTCGTTAAGACGTACGGATGTTCTTTAAAGGCGTTGTACGATAACCGAAAACTGACTAGATTGTGTTTCGTAGGGCATGCGTGTTGTGGAGGGCTGGTGCTTGATTAACCTGGGGATAGAAGAGGAGGAGGAAGAAGGGGAGGAAGGGGAAGAGAAGGAGGAGAAGGAATAGAAGAAGGAGGGGGAAGAGGAGGAGGAGGAGGAGAAGGAAGAGGAGGAGGAGGAGGGAGGAGAGGAGAATTATGTTTATAATCTTGGTGGCACGTTCTTCCCTCATCACCAAACTACAGGCCCCCACACACCCCAGGAAGGCTCACCACTACCTACATCAAGAGGGCCACGACCACATCAACTTCCACCTGCCTTCCATACTTGTTCATAACTCAGTAATAAGAGGGTTGCCTAGTGCTGTGACCATGACCGACTCTCGAGGTGTGTGTGTGTGTGTGTGTGTGTCTACTTCCTCCCCTTGGTTATGACTCCCTCCCTACAAGACACCTCAGTTCATTTTTACTTAAGATTAACCTAACCTAACCTAACCTTACATATACCTATAATGAATCCTTACACAC